TATAATGGAACATCAACATTTCTTATAAAATTTTATATTCGAAAACAGAAAAACTGTTCTGAAATTTTTGGATAATAAATTAGAGTGAATCATAATAATCTGAGAAATTTAATGTAGTTAATATGCTTTTGAAATAATTAGTTGTAACTATTTTATTTATCCATTTAAGTGATTGGCTAAAGTTAAAAAAAAAAAAAAAAATTAAGTGATTGGCTGCACTATCCGTCCGTCGTCGCCAGCAGTATTATTTATTTTCTGATCGGCAAAAGTAGAAATAGCTCAAATTACAAACCGATCCTCCCAAACACTTCAAATTACATAGATATTTCTCCATTTAAAAATGTAGGTCAAGCCTTTTTTTAAAAGGGTTTACGTCAAGCCTTCTTACGCTATTAATTTATGAATGTAAACGTAACATGATTATATATCGATCGTTGCAACTATAACACATGTTTGTACAGATCGATTGAATCTAAGAATATAAAATGCTCAAACTATTTTACTAACACATGCACAAATTACTTTTATCCAAAGCATCCTAAAATCCAAGTAAGTTTCTCTTTTAAATGTCAAATCGACGTTCATGTACGGAATGGATTTTAATTATTTATAATAGGGATGATTGGTTGAGCGATAGGTGTAGAAATTTTACCGTAAAACTTAATCTATGAAATTTTTTGATATAATTATATCTAATATAGTTGTAGAATTATATTAAAAATATATATATATATTTATACAGCAATACTACAACAATTTTTTTTTCTTTAGAAAATAAGGCTCATACAATCACATGTTTTTTTGGTTTTAGCTTAAAAACTAGTTAAAACGTGATTAGTGATTTAAATGGTTATAGATAGAAAACAAAGTTAAAGTTAGGGTATCTCTAACAAGGACATCAAATTTGGTGTCAAAATTAAATTTGAAACTTTTCTTGTCATCTCCAACAACAACACCAAATTTTACACCAAAAGTAATATTATATATATATATATATATATATATATATTTTTTTTTTAGTTTTAATAATTTTTATGTTTTAATTACTTGTAACTGATATATAATTATTTTATTACACTTTTTTATTATGTTTGTTAAAATTTTGTAGTTTTATGTTTATAAAATTTATTTACATTTATTTTTGGTTTACCAATATTATATCTTTATGTATTTATTATATATAAAAATTAGTTACAATCAAAATTACAAACTATTAAAATTGAAAAGTCGATAAAAAATAAAAATATATTTTAATAAAATTTGTATTAGTACGTAATACAAGTTTAACTATTTTAAAAATAAATTCTTATTTTAATGTTTGCTAAATTTAATACTATTACATAAAATTTTATTTAGTTACTATTAAATATAGTTTATAGTATTGAGTTTCTATTTTTTTAATATTAATTAATTTTTTATACTTTCAAAATTAAAAATAAAAATAAAAATTCTATAATATATTTGTTTAAAATATTACATTTAGTAATTTATTAATAGAAAATAAAAAAAAAATTAATTATGTAAAATGATTTAAAACTACATTATATTTAGGTTTAATTACAAATTTGAACTAATTAATAATAGTTATTGAAGATATTATTAAATGAAATGTAATAAAATCTGTATTTTAAAATTTGGTGTGATGAATAGTGTTACACCAAATTTGGTGTAATACTATTCACTTTACACCAAATTTGGTGGGATGGTATCAAGTTTGGTGTCTTGTTGGAGATGAGTTTACACTAAATTTGGTGTTTTGGTGTCATTGTTGGAGATGACCTTATTAGTTAAAGTCTAACCAATCACCCCTAAATGCTGCATATTAACTTTGTTCTTTCTAAAACAATTACATCATGCCATAAAATTCAAAAAAAATGTTACTTGTTGTTGACCTATACTATAATAATGCTACGTACAAGATCAAGATGTCGATAAAACTAGTTTCGGTAAATGTCAATCAATTAAACTTTGGAACTGAAACAATACATAAGAAAAAAATTCATTTTGGTTCTACTCTTTTACCATATATAGAACGAACAAATATTCAAAGTGCTGACTTGCAATTGAAAAGGGAATAAGAGCTTTGGTTGATCTCAGACTTCTTTGACTCACCACAAGTGATTTCTTGTTTAAATTTACAATATTTGTATTTATGATAACGTTTTTATTAACTCATATGTGTTTCAAACTTTCAATCGATTGCGAGAAGATTATGACTACAATACACCAACATGGATCTGTGCATTGCGCAAGATAAACATTATGTATACAAATTATTATACATATTAGTATTTACTTTTTGGTTATTTACGTATTATGTAATAATAAATATATTAAATAATTGAAAATAAGTAAATATTATGTTCATAATTAAACTGGAATAAGCACATAAATCAAAATAAATAAATCAACGCAATCATTCATTTTATTTATATGTTATATAATCAAATTTAATAATATCGACATATATATATATAATATTTTAATACGAATACTTAACTGAAACTTCTTAATTTATACTCATTTGATTTCCTTAACATTTTATATATTTGATGTAACAAAAAATAAACTATTAATCACAAGATTTTCAGTGTAGTATATTTTTAGTTTTAGTAATTTATAATCATTTTAAAAAATTTACTGCAAATTTCAAAATTAAAATATTCAAATCGCAATACCTTTATAATGAAATTTTGAGTGAACATATATGTATTTTATATGGTATAAACTTTAATTTAAATGATTTTAAAGTATATATATTTAATCTTAACATATATTACACAATAATCACATTCATATAATTTTATGATTATTTTTATATTTTTATAACAACAATCATTTGTATCTTTTTATAACAAAAAATATGCCCATTGTTCACAAAAAATTTATTGTGAATTTTTTTAATAGTTTTAGTAATTTATAATGTTTTTCAAATATATTATCTAAGAAAAAATTAGATCTTTTATTATATGATTAATGTGATTGTTTAATTTTTTAACAAAATAAATTAAACAAAAATGATGAATGATACAAAACTATTATCAAATCTTTATTATTCAAAATTATTAATGGTCATATATGTTTTAATCATATTAGATCATTTCGTAAGTTTTATTTAAGAAAAGAATGAATAATATTATTGTATGCATTATTAATCAATTTGATAGTTAATTGTACAAAAAGTATAATCTATATTTAGATGGATGATACAAACTATTATCAAATCTTTATTATTTAAAATCAAATGACTATATATATGTCAATTATATTAGGTGTAAGCTTTATTTAGAAAAAGAACGGAAAATATTATTTTATGCATTACATATCGATATTTAATTTAATAAAAATATAATTTATATTTAGATGGACCAAACTATTTTCTAATGAGTGTGAGAATCATCTTACTGATGATATGTGACTACACTTAAAAGTTATAATGCTCCAAAATTATTATGTAAGGGATATATTTTAGATTAATATTGGTAACTAAGCATATGATAAGAAAAGAAGTTAAACCGTCGTTATCGGACGACGTCTTACTAAATATAAGTTTTTTGAATAAATCTTATTTAATGTAAGTTTTATTTTAGAAGTTATATTCGGCCGTTCAACCTTTTATTTTTAAAAGTTATAGTTGGACGTTCAACTATACAATGTACTAGATGAGAATCCGCGCATGCGCGCGGAGTGAAATTTTTATACTAATATTTATTTATTAAATGGTTTTTAACATTTTACAATACTACAGTATTTATCGATTATAAAATGATGAATACAAATGTTGGTATCTTAGATCATCATAGGTCTGGACGTTAAAGACTTCGTCGGTTTTAGTTTGATTGACACGTATTTTCAGATTTTGGTATTATTCTCATAAATCCTATTTGAATTTTACTAATTATCGGATTGGATTCGATTTGATCTTCTCAATTCAGTTTGGATTGGATTGTAACCAATATCTGAAATCATCCCCAAAAATATTTCTTAAACATTAAAAGTTGACAAAAAAATCAAAATATTTAAACTATTAATAAATCTAATTTAAAATTAGTTAAATTATCTAAACAAACGAAAAGATATTAAAAAAAGAAGCAAATAAAACAAACTACAAAAATCTTTTGAATACTATAATTTGTATCTACTAACCTCAAACCTTTTTACTGAAATTTTTAAATTAACATATTTATAGTATGAATATCTACTAATGATACTTCATATTCGTACGATTTATGATAATTTGTATCTTCTTTGGAAAAAAACAAAGTTAAACCATTGATCATAAAATTTTCAATGTGGGATTTTACTATTTTTAGTTATTTATGGTCGTTTTAAAAAAATAAAAAATATAACCTATAAGAAAAAAATTAATTTTTTATTATATATTTAAATGTGATTGTTTAATGTATTTTAATAATTTAAAATTAAACAAAAAAGAGAGAGGATACAAAAATATGTATTATTCATAATCATTAATTACATATATATGTTAATCATATTAGGTAATTCTGTAGTTTTTATTTAAGGAAATAAAATATATTGTTTTATACCTAGCAGAGTTGGTCCCTTAAAAATGTCTATATATTATAATCCTAAATGCAAGAAATTAAATGTTACATTATTTCATTCCTAGTAAAGTTGGTCCATTAAAAAAGTAAAGATGAGAAGCTCTATGAGCTTGACACGTAAGTATGCTCTCCAAGGTTGTGCATTTATAAATACTTCAGGATTAATATATAAGTAATTTTTACATAAGATAGAAGTTAACACATTTTTGTCAAAAATTAACTCTTATGATGTACGTGACTAATAGACGTTTAACATAGTTAAACGTTGGGTTAAATAAGAAAATGGTTGAACCTAGACATACATTTCCTGTCCGAGACGGGACCACAGTTTCCTCACGCCTTATTCGTCAATCTCTTTTCCATTATATTCCCAACTTTTTTTTAATTAATATATTCCCTTTTTACGATAAAATATTGAAATTTTAATTCGTACGTTTGTTTGTAGTTCCACTTTCACATCTAATTCGAACATTCGAACCCAGAAAACAAAATCAAAGAGGAACACCACAAGAGAAAAACAAAAAAAGATAACTTGGATAGTGCAGCTGCTGCTACATAGCCAGCCAGGTTTTAATCCATGTAATACATGTTGAAAAAGAAGTACATAATTAACATTAGTTTGTTATTTTACAGAATAATACAAAGAGTTATAATCTCAGGGAAGATAGCCAATCATGTAAGCCGAAGGCTGTGATGTAGAGGCGGAGTAATAGTATGGGCCATGGCGGAGTAGGGCGGGCGGAGCCTGAGGAGCGTGGCTCAAGAAGACTCTGGCGGCTTCAGCCACCACCACCACTAAATCTATTGCTATCTTCAACATCTTTATAAAGAGTTCTATTCTCTTAATCAACATTGTTCCTCTCGTTTCTTTCTCTTGTTTTCCTTTCTTTTCTCTACCTCTTTGTTGTATATATAGCTCGACACATGCATGCCATGTGAATTATGTGTATATAACTTTTTAAAAAAATTATTAATGGGGTTTACTTGTTTTGAATATTTTAAAGTAAATTAATCAAAGAAACTATGATTTTTGATGAGTTAAAGGAATAAGAAACGCGGATGTTGTCGGGTGGTACGGCAGGTTTAGAAAGGTCTTGAGCGCTTTGGGTTTGAAATCTACCAATTATATTTACTCATCTGTGTGGCCAGATGACGTGGATTCTAATCCACACGTAGAACAACCGGATTTGCCTGTAGCTAGTGGACCGGCTCCCAAGAGATTAGCCGGACCTTCGTGTTCAGATATCCCGAGTTATTAAAAAAGAATAAGAATAGTTCAGTGACATTCATAAATAGATTTTGGATTTAGTTTTTCAAACGACAACATAGAGTTTATAAAAGGCATTAGAGCACCTCCATTGGTGTTACCCACCATTAGAGTCCTTAACAATATAATAAATATTTTTTTTTTAATAGTTAAGGACTCTAATCACAAATTTTCCTCCAATGGTGTTATCCATTATGGAGTTCTTAGAATTTTTTTTTTAATTAAATTTGTAAAGCATTTAAATATAAAATTTTTATTTATTGAAAGATTAAAATTAAACATACAATAATTAAACATCTTCGTTACCATTGTTTCAGCGGATAAAGGCATCACCGTATTTTTTCTTGAGCTGCCCATTAACATACTCTTATGTCTGCTCCATCGCTATGTTCATATACCCATCAAGAAGAGCAAGAATGCCTGTGTAATAGAAGAAGAAAATGCAACTCGTGATCAAGAAGTCAGTATAAAGCTTGTAAAGATGCTAGACAAAACCAATCAAAGGTAACAAGAGAACAAGTCGAGAAGAATGAAATATGTAGTTTCTCATGCATACCACTCTAGGACAAAGATCTCTCTTACATGACCTTGAGCCTCGATCATAAAAACCACAAAGCAAAGGGTCTGTCAACCCAAGCTCAAAATTCTCCTAGTCAAATGTAGCTTCATTGCAAGGAAGCATGGATAAAAGAAGATATTAAAATAAGAATTGGCAAGGAGAGGAAACACAATCAACCAAAGAATTGGCAAGGAGAGGAAACACAATCAACCAAACTGGTCACTGGGATCTAACAATTGCTTGCCTTTGACTGGTTTATAAACCCCAAGACGGTCACACTTTCTCTAATTTCTCAAATCTATATATCAATACATCCCTCTATAAAACTCCACATATCTTCTTTTACAAAGATAAGAAAATGTTCTCAGTAAAAGTATTGGTAATGACCTTAAGAAAACCATTGAAAATGTACTATTACTGATTCAGTAAAGCTTTACATATGAGTGATGATAAGCCAAAGAAACAAGACAAATAATAGTCGTTTCCCCAAACTCACACTATATACCTAGCTTAGTTATCTCCATGCACAAAACCCCACTTCCACCTAAAAATCTTACCCAGTATTTTTACCATAGTCAAAAGACCAAACATCAATCATCACTTGTCTCAGCAGCTTGATCACGAACACAACTATCTTCTTGATTATCTCCAGCTTCACGCTCTGGCATGTCTTCTTCAACTCCTTCAGGCCTCGACGTATCTTGCACTGAACCATCATTGACACTCGATGAGCCTCCAATTTCGGAGCTCTCTGTAGGGACAAGTTGCTGCACTACGTTTCCACTGTTACTCGTTTCCCCTATACTTCTAGAAGATGTTGGAATAGGATTTTTCACACGATGATTAAGCTCACCCATCTGGCCACGGATATCTGAAAAAGAAATAAAAGATAAATACACCGTATGCAGCAACAAGGTCTCTAAAGCACATCAATCAAATCACATTACATTGATCTCTTCAATAATAAGCACAAATCATTACTTAGTGCAAACCAAATCCAAGAATCAACTGTAGCAACGAGAACTCATACACAACGCAAGAAGGACGAAACGAGAACTTACTTAGGATCGCTGCTAGCTACGGGCGGCTGAGACGACGTCGTGTTCTGGACGTCATTAGCGTATCTAGGAACCTGAGCGCCTCTTGACCATTGTTGTTGCTGCGGCCGGTGCGAGTGCGACTGATTCAGCGCCGCTCCAATCCCTGGTGGATATCTTCCTCTGCTGTTAACAAAAGTTATTACGGGAATCGAATCTGGGACCAGGACCAAAGAGGTCTCGGTACCTATATACGAGAACCCGAGTGATGAAGAATCAGAGTTGGAGAAGATTGGGATTTGAAACTAATTTTGAGGAAGAAGAAGGAAGGGGGTGAATTGCCAGCACATTAAGGACCAAGCCCTTAATCCCCTTAATTAAGGACTCTTTATTAGGTAGACCAATTTTTTAATATTTTTTAATCCTTTTAGCTTAAGGATTAATGCTAAGGATTCACTAACATCCTGCGTCGCAGGTGCTCTTACATTGAAAAAACTAAAGATTAGAGAGAAACGGTTACAATAGCCATAGAGTTCAAAATGGACATCTAGAGAATACTGTACATAAGTTTTTGAGAAATAAATATCCCCTGTATATTATTTGGGAATCATTTAAAAAGTTGTAACCTTAAGTTTGTAAGAATTAAAAATAACATCAATCCTATGTGGCATAGCTCTTTGGCTTCTATTTCAAATCCTAAGGATTCTAGAGCATGTGATATAATGTATAGTCTAAAAATTATACTCTCTAGCAATATAATATTTCGTAGGCTATATAGTTGGTCGCATATATCAAATATTTATTGTTTCGCATGCTTTCCTTAAATAAACCCTACGGAATTACCTAATGTGATTAAAATATATATATGACAATTAATGATTTTAAATAATAAAGATTTGATAACAATCTGTATACTTTTTCTCATTTTGTTTATTTATTTATTATTAAAATAAATTACACAATTACATTAATCATATAATAAAAATCTAGATTTTTTTGTGAGTATGTTGTATTTCGAATTTTTCAAAATGAGTATAAATTACTAAAACTGTTAAAAGTCTCACATAAACTTTTAGAATCAATGTTTTAATTTTTTTTATATTAAAGTATAATGATTATAAATTATTGAAACTACTAAACATCTCACATTAAAAAAAATTCATTGGTGTAAAGTTTTGTTGCACAAATATGCAAATAATCATAAATCATATGAGTAAAACCCTCATTTAATAAATATTCATATTAAAAGTGTGCTATATTACTAAGTTTATATCATTTAAATTTAATTATATATCATATACAATATATAAGATTGATTATTTTGATTTATTTCCCCTAATTGCGAATAAACAAAGTGATAGTTAAATTTATATGCATATGTCAATTTATTACATAATAGTAACTGATTTTTTAGTTATTTAATATATATATTTATTATTTTATTATTTTATAATATGCAGAAAAATAGAAAATAAATACTAAATATAAAATACTTATTGTGCATAAAGTGCAGATCTTAACCTAAGTATGTAACTCTTTAATTATTTTAAATCTTAAGTATTTTCTAAATTAAAAATCCATAATTAATTTTTAAATTGTTAAATCATGATATAAAAATTAATTTTTAATTTTTTAATTTTTTAGTTTTTAAATCATTATGGTTATGTTAAATCATGACCATAATTAATTTTAAATTATTTATTTGTATTTGAAAAACTTAAAAATTGTTTTAAAAAATAATTTCAAATTTAACTTAATTTTTTTATAAAATATATTTCTAAAAAAAATATTTTTTCAAAATATAGTTTTGTAATATTATTAGATAAATAAATAAATTATATTAAATTAGTTTTGAAACTTTATATATTTTAAATGCAAGTATTTTACCAACTGCTTCTTACAAAAACATTAGGAAACTTGCTAATACTCTACCAATCAAGCCCAATGACACTCCGTTAATTTTCCGTAACTAGAACAGTGAAAAAATATATGAAATCAGGTCTATTAAATTCTAATATTTGATCTACAATTCTAATTATAATTGTTTCTGATCCTACGTATAGATAATTATATAAAAATTCCATAATTCTAAAATTTCAAATACATATAAAAATAATCATATGTAAATTTTAAATTTGTCAATACTAAAATTTTATATTTTAACTAGATTTTGACCCGCCCTTAAAAGGGCGGGTATATTTTTTTGTTTTATTTTTTTATAAAAATTAAATTTTTATTTTTGTGTGTTTTAGTCATAATTGTATTTTTATTTGTATGATATTTTTCTTAAATTTTTAATAAGATATTTTATTCTATTCTATTAAAATAGTTAGTCCATATATATTTTAATAGGTTATGTTCATGTAATAGAATAGATAGTTATTAATTATGAGTAAAAACACAAACATAAAATTATTTTCTTATAATAATTCATGTAACGTGAGAAATAAATAATTGAACATAACCTTGCACCAATTGGTCATGTTCCAGATTAAATAATATTGATAAGAATAATAAATTAAATTTCATATCCAAGATAAACCAATATAAATCATTGTAATAAATTATCCATAACATAATAAACTAACACCAAACTACATCAACTAATTTTGGTTTTCTCTACATCGATCATTTCATTTTTCTCTCGTGGCATAGTGAAATCTTCATCAAAATCTAACAAACATAAATAAAATAATGTTATTGGTCTTATATTTTTCTGATAAAAAAATACCAATTACCAATTATATATGATAAAAATAAGAAAGTTAAATCAAAACATAATTAAAAGCTAAAAAAAAAAATTTATTGGTTCAACCAGTGCTTCAATCAATAACCGGATTTTGGGTTTTATTGGATTTTTAAATATTATTTTTTTCCAAAATCCAAATAGAATTTATTTTAGGTCACCAGATTTACCGGTTCACCCGCGGGATTGGATTTCAAAACACTACTCATGTCTAATTTAAAATGTGAATATTTTCTATTTATAAAAAATTATAATGAAAATACAAAACTAATAATATACCCGCACTTTATAGCGCAGATCAAGATTTAGTATTCTATTAAAACATAAACATGACATATATATATATATAGTCTACCTATTTTAGCACATTATTTTAAAAAACTATAAATCATTAAATAATATTATACAAAAATATAAATATAAAATTATGTAAAGTATATAGATATATATATAACCAACAATATACTCATAATCTAGTTCTTCATTAAATTTTAATGATATGATTTCATATACAATAATTTATATAACATTATTATCAGATGCCCATTAAATTATACAATATTTAAAATCTATTCTACTTTTGTGGAGGGATGAATAAATTAATAAGGCTCATGATCATACCACGACCAATGCAGTTACAAAAATAGGATAGTTATGGATGGATGCAGTTATTATACAAATAAACTTGGGACAATTATATTTTATTTAATCAGTTCAGTGCAGTTCTTATATTTTTAAATTAGACACAACTAATATCAATTAGTCATGTTGCTAAATTAATAGTATTGATATTATTTTTTTTATAAATTTTGTGAAATTTAAAAATATATAATGGATTTTAATTTTTTTTAAAAAAATTAATTGGGTTATCCGAACTCGAACCGAACCTGCAAAGATACAAACCAAATCCAAACCGAAATTTAGAAATACCCGAATGGGGCTATAATCTTTGATCCCAAAAACCTGTAATCCAAATCCAAATAGATCTGAACCAAATCCGAACGGATCCCCGAACATCCACTCTTACGCTCATTATTATTAGAAAACAAATCGTCAAAACTGATGTTTAGGAATGTATAAACTGTATACTGTGTTGTTAGAACCAGAAAATAGTTTATATATGGTCCAGATTATTAGGAAACAAATTGTAAAAACAAAAGTAACATTGATTCGGTTAACAGGTTTGTGGCCCACGATTGTTAGGCGGGATGATGTGGGGGTTATATTCCTAAATTAAATGTTGTTGCAGTTATCATATAAACATGTATATTGTCGATGCAGTTATTATATAAAAATGTATGTTTTGTTGAAATATTAGTTGGACCAGACAAATATCAGTTGGTCATGCTATAAAATTGATAGAATAGATTAATCAAATATACTAAAATAAAATTATTAACCGAATTGCTTGGATACATTTTATCCAAGACCTTAAAATTATTCAATTTACCTGATATTTTTATCCCAATAATCTGATATATATATATATATATATATATATATATATATATACTGAAAAACCTGATTTATCCGATATCTTACATATATTATGCAACATTATTCAGAAAATTGAACTGAAACTAATGTTTTGAGAACGGGACTGGACATCAACTCATTGTTTTTACTTGGTGACTGGTTGAACTGGTTCAACCGGGTTTTAAAAGATTTATATTTTTTTGTGATATATATATATATACGTATTTAAAGATATGATAATAAAAATAAAATACTTAGTTTTAGTATAATGTAACCCTTAAAATATATATTTTAAATTTAAATTATAAATATGAACAGAAATAATGTAAATGACCAAATTTTTTTATGTAAGTTATTTCTGTAAATGATATAGAAAATATAGCAAGTGTGTATAATGAAAACAAAATAATTGTGAGTGAGGAAAAATAATGATTTTGGTTTCCTATTACATACGACTTAAATCAGGAACTAATCGCACGAAATGTCATTTACGGTAACTATTATCAAAACTAATCGATTATGCTTGGAATTGGTTGAACCTGGTTTTTGTAATTAATAAAATTGGGAATAAATATTTTTAGATTTCGGTGGCCCAATGGCAAATGTTGTTGGTTGTGTCGTTTAGTTCTCGGGTTTTATACGACAAAGGCTCGTATTGCGTTTTTGTTTAATTTTCTTTTAATCAATGGCATAGTTGTAATTTTTTCATCATCTTCCCCAGAATCTTTTGTAGGGTTTCAACTCTGTAAATCTATATTAATGGCGGCCATCAACTATTTTTCTGTTAATAAGACATCAGTTTTAAACATTCAAACTCAAAAAAACAATTTGCGACCTCTGATTTGTTCGCCGCGCCACGTCCAAGCACCGCCCAACATCTCACATGCACTTAATCGGATGCCTTACCCGCATTTTCGAACAGGGCTTTTGTCTTAATTTTTACAGTCTCGGACCAGTATGTGGAGTAAAGGAAAGCATCTACAAAGTGATTTCAGAAACCACAAATGGATCTAGATCGATTGTAGTTTGTGCTCTCTTTTTGTGACTTTGTGTCTTTGTTTTGTTACTGAGAAATTAATTGATGCGTTTTCAAAAAATAGGCGATGA